ATGTATTTTATGTTGATATGCAATTCATTTGTTTTTGTTTATATTGTCTTTTCTATACTTCTGATCATAATTCAGTTGTTTGACAAATGCAGAATATATTTTGTTTGTGAGAAAAAATGAATCAGATAAGAGCATTCTTCCGTGTTTGGTGACTACTGTATTTGTGTCACTCTTATCTCCAAATCAATTTTAACTACTCTTCCTTCCCAAGATAACCCCTTTTATATTCAAATAGAAATTATTTATATATTTGTTATTTTCATAATTATAATTCCGAATTACAAGATTGGAGAGAAAGAGAGAGAAGACCTTTCCATGATCTAGAGATTTTTCCCGCCATCTACTTTCAATGAAAACTTCTGCAGCAAACTGTTCTTTGACTGTATCGATGTCGCTTAATTTCAGAAACACAACACGTGTTTGAACTGTGTGCTGCAAAGAAAAGATCAGGAAATTCAATACTTAATATGCAAATAAAAACTAATATTAAAATCTTTTTTGTTTCAATTTTTACAATTGTCGATGAATTTACATTAACACGATAATTACTATTTTTCTTAATTTTCAGTGCTTCTTTTATTATAAAATAATTACTGTTCGTTATCTTTTGATAAAATATTTTCTTTTCTTTGTGTTATTAAAACGATGTTTAATTCCAAAAAAGAGAGATCTCTAATTTAAGAAATCATCATAAAACTAAAACCCTGATTTAGTTTTTGTTATTATCTAAAATTGTTTCAACTTTCCATAGCAAGAATCTGAAACGATAAACTTAACTTCCGCATTCATAACTTAGATAATACTGGTATAGACAGACAGTTTAATGAATAAGCTGTAACAACAATACCCTTAAGCCTAAACTAAACATCTGTATATGGAATATTTTTAATATGTATTCTTTTGAGAATTATCTATAAAAATAATTTTCTTTATTCTTTAGGTATTATCTGTAATTTCACGTGTAATCATTAATTATAATGTAATACATGTATGTAATGAAACATATACTAACCATAAATTACAATGTAATATGTGACGACACAAACCTTTGGCACCACTTTTCTCTCCTGCTCTGTCATGATATTTTCGTCATCCAAATCTTCTCTTGGAACTGACCAAAAATTATATTTATAATGTTTGAAAACACCGTTCCCCTAGGACCTACTTCTGTCCTTAATTTGTGTGTACATATAAACAAAACTGTCTGAATGTGCCCAATGGAGCGAGGTCCATAGTGTGCGATGTCGAAACACCCAAAGGATTCCATTATAGAAAGACATTTTATACAACGTGTCGCGTTTAAAGTTCCCTCGAATTACAATCTTGGGGCGTACAAATTCAAAGACTCTTCCCATGTCCCCTTAAGAAACAACGAGGAATTAAAAATATTTAAGTCAATACCCTAACGAATTCTTTTTAACTTATCACATTGGCGTCGGAAGCAAATTGAAAGTGGGGGAGGGGGGGCTAAGTGTAAAGAAACAATTATACCTTAAAAAAAACCTGACAAGCAAAAAAAAAAAAAAAAAAAAAAAAGGGGGGGGGGGGGGGGGGGGGGGATTATTTCCCAAACACGAAAAATCCTATTTCGGGGGGGGGGGGGGGGGGGGTAGGTTCGAACTTCAGTACCAAAAAGGTTAAGGGCTAAACCTACGCAGCAATGTTCAATGTCTATACTAAGTATATATATATCTTATCATAGTTTATTTATCAAGGATTATTTAGTAGTCCTGTCTCCCACTTTTCTTTCTTTATATATCTTATCATAGTTTCATTTATTGTAAAACTTCAATTATCAGAAAATTTTGTTTTACACGTATACAATTAATTTACACCTTTCAATAAAACTAACATAAACTGGATATAATTACAAATATTATATTATTTATCAAGAGGAATAATTTTACAAAATGTGAAAAAATAGGTGTTGATGTTACTTCTGATATTTTTAAAAAGTTCTTTTGACGTTTCTTCTGAGTTTTCTTTCTTTTTTTTATTTTGCGTTATTTTATTCATTTATTTATTTTATTTATTATTATTTTTTTTAAAATCACATTTGATTTATACCACTTCTCAGTTATGCAGTAGCACACTTTATCTCGCCTTTTTTTTTTTTTTTTTTTTTTTAAGAGTAAGGATAGGAACAAGTTACAGCAATTGCTGAACCCGGCAGAGTATCTTTCTAAGCCTTTTATGAATTTAGAAATCAAATATTAGTTGTGTAGATCGAACTCACTTTCGTTCACTGGAATGTTAAAATTTAAAAAAAAAAAAAACTAAAATGTTTTCACCAGACTGTATATTTCAGGTGAAATATCCTTCTGCTCCAAATTTCACCATTTTTTTTTTAAATTCCAAACATTGATTTTCATCAACAACTAACATTAGATTCAAATGGAAAATAGTTTGAAGTACGAAGCATTGCTTACTTTTTCAGAAATGAAAAATATATCAAATCATGCTTGTAAAATAATATGCATTCATCAACAAGAGTTATCTTTCCATTATCGCCCTTAAAAATATTTTTTAATAAACAAAATATTAATTAAATGTTTATTAACAATTCTGCATCTGAATTTTAGGTAAACTATTATGAATAATTAATGAAAATATTGGTTATAGAAACTAGAAATCAACATCTGTACGAGATAACAGACTTTATTGAGTCGACTATAAAATGGTCCTTATAAATGAAATCTGTAAAATCTGACATGACAATTCCTAAAATTTCATGGAAAAATATCTTCAGAAAGTTATCTCTCTTATCAGAGGGATATTACACCTTAAGAGCTTAGCCTCCCCCTTCCTATTTCTTGTATGTATGTTTATTTTGTCCATGATTATAATTATATAAGTCATTTCATCTTTTCATATAAACCTCTAATGAGGGAAATAAGTTTGAATGAATGATACAGATTTCGCAAGATTTTAAAATACACTAAATGAAAACTACGAAAGCCTATTAGGGTCAATCTAGAGAGAGAAAAAATTAAAAGGCGTTATAACGCCTTTCGAAAAGGCGAAATCAATGATCCTTGGTAGAGGTGTAGAGGTGTGTCTGGTATTAAAGAAGGACTTAGTTGGTTCAACATTGAAAATATATGACGCATTCAAAAATCCTTTTTCCTGGAAATCTAATTGCTATCTGTTTAAATTATTTTTTGAGAAATTATTCCTATATCTAATTGTGAAATTCATGTCGCAAAGGTACGATTTCTGCACCACCACCCCCCCCCCCCCCTCGGTTGGGCTAAATATGTTTAGTTATGTATTGAAAGTAAAAGGCGTAATAACGCCTTTTGGAAAGGCGTAATAATGCCTTTTAGAAAGGCGTAATAACGCCTTTTGGAAAGGCGTAATAACGCCTTCTAGTATGGAAAGGCGTAATAACGCCTTTTAGAAAGGCGTTATAACGCCTCTAAAAAAGGCGTAATAACGCCTTTTGGAATGAAAAGGCGTAATAACGCCTTTTCAAAAGGCGTTATAATGCCTTTTTTCGCGTTATTACGCCTTTTCGAAAGGCGTTATAACGCCTTTTTAATTTTTTTTTCTCTCTAGATTGATCCTGTTAGGCTTTCGTAGAAAACAAAACTCGATGGTCTGATAAAATGTTTTCACCGGACTGTATATTTTTGTAAACTAACAATAAAAACGATGTTGTTAAACTAAACGCATGGTACCATTGATAAGTTGTGAATTCGGCATTTAATTCGGTTTGCAAGTATCGAAAATCAACCCAAGAATGCCGCCTGTAGGTGGAGGCGGCGAATTCCCAGTTTTCATAATGGCGCCGGTTCTGACGTTTTACTGGCACGTAAAATATCAAAATCGTGAAGAAAAAATATCCTGGAAAACGTCAGATATTCCGGACTAATCCCATTCACTTTAATTTGTGGATAAAATTTTGTATAAATTGAAAATATAGGGTACCTGCAGTATTTCGAATGGTAAGGGAAAATGTTCAGTTAGGTATTAATAAAATTAATAGTTGTTTACTTAATGTTTGAAAATACATGCAATTGAGGGTTTCAATAATTTTAGTATTATTTTACCTTGGACTATTATATCAGAACCTTAAATTGTTTCATTAACTGTAGCTTAGATTTCCAACTGTACAATTTTACATCAAAGGTCAAATAATTATTCTAACTGATAAAACTACCAGGTAATATAAGACCTTCAGTTAGAAGTGATCTGAGTTTCCTTAAAGTTATCAGTCTTATCTACAAAGAGAAAAAAAAACTAATATTTCATAGTTGCACCATTAATTCCATGTCAAAAATCAAACGACTTTTTGTTATGCGCCCGCATTGATAGATCCGGGGCGTATATTGTTTTTGTCCTGTCTGTCTGTTTGTTTGTCTGCAAACTTTAACCTTCGCCATAACTTTTGAACCATAAAAGATGGAGATTTCATATTTGATATGCATACTCCACTAATTAAGTTCTTTCAAATGACACCAAATTCAATGGACTTGTGACCTTGACTGTGACCTATATGCTAAAATAGCTTTTTATCTGCAAAATTTAACCTTCGCCATAACTTAAACCATGAAAGATAGAGACTTCATATTTGGTATGCATACTCCTCTAATTAAGCTCTTTCAAATGACACCAAGGTCAATGACCCTGCCACCTTGACTGTGACCTGTATGCTAAAAATAGTTTTTTCGTACGTTTGCCATAACTTTCGAACCATGGAAGATAGAGACTGCATATTTAGTATGCATATTCCACCAATTTATCTCTTTCAAATGACACCAAGGTCAATGAATTTGTGAACTTGACTGTGACCTTTATGCTTAAACTAGTTTTTTCGTACCTTTGCCATACCTTTTGAACCACAAGAGATAGAGACTTCATATTTGGTATCCATACTTTACTAATCAATTTCTTTCAAATGACACCAAGGTCAATGACCCTGACTGTGACATATATGCTAAAAATAGCTTTTTTAGAATTTTGTGGCCGCCGGGCGCATAGTGTTTCACAAACACATCTTGTTTTAATTCAATTTAAATTTCTTTAAAGGGTTACTTTAAAGGAGAAAAAAACAGCCTGATGTGAATATAAATAAATCCTCTTTGAAATCCAAGGATATGTTGTATTCAGCAAACTGAAGCTGGTTAACTGGTTACTGAGAAGTGGGTGTTCAAAATTTAAAAGCATGTAGCTACAAAGAAAACCAGAAGTATCTGACGAGACTGTAGCTCTACTGGTTTACTCATGTAACATAGGAAAAGTAGAATTTGGACTTGAAACTTTGCAACAGGCATAAATAGAATAATGATCTCAAGTCATACTGAAATAAAATGAAAACTGTAGAAGTAGTATTTTGAAAAATTGTTTACAGACAAACAGATGGACAGACAGCTAGACAGACAGACACTCTAAAATTACATAAACTCTTCTGGTCTCTGAGCAGTTAAGCTAAATACAGCAAACACTTCAATCGAAATCAACCACATCTTTATTCATATAAATAGCTCATCTGAACTAAAATAAGTTTTTGTTTTTTCCGTTATATTATCTCTATGAACACACTATCTGTCTGGGTCCACTCAGTACCAGAAGGTTGGCTTATATTCACGTTCCTCTTTTATCCCCATCTGATCCATTATATCCTGTTCAAACGTCTTTAACTTTGGTTTAAAGGTCACTAAGTTTACTTCATTTTTGTCTGTATCTTTATCTTTGTTGACTGAAAAAAAGGAAGTAAAATTTCTTAAAAAGGGTGTTTTATCAAACACACATCATTTTTTTTAAAACATTGATTTCATTTGGAACTGGTTACACCTCTCTAAAAATATATTATAAATTGACAATACAAGGAAGTATAAAAGTTAACAGGTACATATGTAAGAAAACGCCTTACATTTTTTATGCCTCCTATGAGAAATATCAGCCTGATAGTGCAGTGAAAAATAACCTGAAACACATATCTGCAGTTTTGTCGAATATGTCATTTAATTCAATGACATAAAATAAAATGTATAACAAATCATTAAGGGGGATTACCTAATATTAAACAATACAGGTTACATGTACATAGGTGAAAGGTACAAGTGTGATCCCCCTGAGACTGACTAGAAATTTACATGCAGTGAACATATCAGATTACATGTAAATATGCATAAAATATAACATAAATGAGTAAATCCTTGGAGTTTTTTTTTTTTTCAATGCACTACCAGGCTAACAAAAATGGCACAACAAAATCAAGGATTTTGATTATGTTACTCTGTCAAGAAAAGCAAAGGTTGCGATTTCGCAATGAAAGGTTATATGATAATTGCGCTGCGATAAAGGCGCATATCCTGCAGACTGCACAGGGATATGCGGAATTATCCTAAGGTGTAAAATATAATATATATTTCTCATAGCGGCATAAATTGAATTATCTGTGATGATATTGTTTCTTCCAACTCTTAATCTCTATGAAGATGATTTATCACTGATAACATCTAGAAAATACTTCTTTATAAATTTTTATCATTTTCACTGTCCAAGGAAACTATTATATACATGTATGCTTATTTTTACACAACTTACTAGAATATGAATTTATAGCAATCTCATCCCCCTCTGTTTTTTGTTCTTCATTGATGGGAACAGGAATAACACGGCCAGATTTCTTGGAAACTCGAACCCTCGTTCCGTCCTCCAGATACCGCCATAAAATATCTGTAGGTGACCTAAATAAAAATGATGTCTTTAACCTTGAACTGCGACAAATCTATCTAATACCATACATGTACTTTATTAGCTTATTGTAGTAAAAGGCCACAGTGTGAGCATGTATAAATACATGTACAAGGGTTTTCCTAACACTCTGTGGAACCCCCCCCCTTTTTAAAATAAAAAATCCAGTTTGGTTTGAGCTCTTCGTTATTTTCCATGAATGGATAGTTGCAATTTACATTGAAAACTGTGTTTCTGAAATTATGCACAAATTATGCCTCCTGTACCTCTACCCAGGTAAGCACTGAGAAAATTTTGAATAGTTTTAGTTTCATAAATAAAAGTGTAGCCCTTCTGAAAATCAATCCGACACCTAATTTATTGCGCTATTGAAGCTTTTGTAGAGTCATGATCTTAAATATTATAGTAAACCTGCGTAACTTAAAAAAATAAAATGATTATTAATTTGTGCTCTGTAACTTCAAAATAATTCGTTATTATTAATTTTCCAATAGATACCACACTTAATAAAGCAGGTAAGACGATGAACTTACTTGTCTGTAGGATCAACCAATTTAACTTCATCAGGAAGTTTTAGTGGAACCATCCTACTAAAGGTCTGTCCATTCATTACTTCATATCTCTACAACAAGAAATCATCAACACCATTTTTAAACCTTAGATTCATAATTCATAAATAAAAAAAAATATTGGTAAGATAAATAATATTTATTTAAAGTTGGGTTAGTCAACAAGAAATATCAGCTCTGAAGAGCTTATTTCCAACTACTATGGTTGTAACATATCTTTTTTATGGTAAAAAGAGTTCCTTACAACCAACATTCCTTGTATTAGGGAGATGAGTACAATGTAGGCTTACTGTATTTTACTGTATTATGTATAAAGTTGAAACTAAAATGCTCCTGTCCATGTCTTAAATCATATTCAAAATTATGATTTGAACAAACTTGAATCTACACTACATGAGGATGCTTCCACATGAGTTTCATCTTTCCTGGGCCAATGGTTCTGGAGAAGATTTTTTAAAGATTTTTCCTATATTTTCCTATGTTAAACTTTGATCAGCCATTGTGGCCTGCCCTACCCCCGGGGGTCTTGATTTGAACAAATTTGAGTCTACACTACTTGAGGATGTTTCCACATGAGTTTTATCTTTCTTTGCCCAATGGTTCTGGAGAAGAAGATTTTTAAAGATTTTTCCTATATATTCCTATTTAAAACTTTGATCAGCCATTGCGACCCGCCCTACCCCCGGGGGTCATGATTTGTATAAACTTGAATCTACACTACATGAGAATGCTTCCATACAAGTTTCATCTTTCCTGGGCCAATGGTTCAATCAACAACAAAAAAACATCCAGATTAATAAAACTTACAACATTCATGTTCTCCACAATGACTTCGTTGACATCTCTAAACACTTCGGCTACTACTCCAATTTTACCTTTATCTTTTCCAACCATACAGATCACCTGACAATAAAATGAAGGAAAATATTAACAAAACTTTATAAGATGTTTTTTATGAACATACTGCAAGAAAATAAGCAATATACAATGAAGAGGATATTAACATACATAACAAGAAAAATGATATTTGTAAGAAGTATGCTAAGATATTTTCCTAAATTCCTCTCAAACTAACAGATTCCTTATCTATAGTCTACACATACAAAAATATTTTAATCATTTTTTAAGCTATTAAATCATTTACCAATTCTTTGTTGACAGTCAATAAATGAATTAAATTAAACTTGCCATGTCCTTTTCAAATATGTAGGGTTCATAATATGGTGTCATAAGAGGTTTCTTATGGCCATAGTGTATAGAATTTAATCTCAGTTCTGTCGGGTGAGTGGGTCCATATTTAGTAAAACGCCAATCTTTTTCCCACTCTCTCCAGCCTCTTAATGGTTTACATTTACCCTGTCCAATTGTTTGTCTGACCAGTCGATGTACAAATCTGTCCCAGTAGTCAGTTCGTCTGAGTAGATTTAAGGTTAATTTCATTTTCTCTGTTAAGAAAATATTTAAGAACAATAACATTTTAGTGGATATCTGCAATACTGGCTAGTAAAATGCTTTAGTTAGAAAGTTCATACCCATTGCATAAGAAATATAAGAGCGTTTCTTAAAGATGTTAAAAGATAAAATCAGTTTGATATGAATAACATATTCCTAGAATATTAAACAGCTAAATGTAAATATTTTCAATTTACTGTCATGAATACATGGCATTTTGCAACAAGTTTTTGATGGTCAGTCATTCGGTGACGATTGTAACAGCACTAGTTAGCATCATTTCCAAGTTTGATTTATTCTATACATAGTCTAAGACATTTGGTTTGGTGTCCTTACTAACTCTTTAACTATAAATTTAATATATGCATGTCATAAAATATGTGAACATTTTAAATGTAAATTTATGCCAAAGTTGTGGAGGAAGTTGACTTTGTTTTCAAAAATTAACCAAGTGTGATGTATTTGTTGACTGAGCATAAGATCATTATGTTATTGACAAAGAGCAGCCAAAAAAAAAGCTACTGATGATGATTACTCCTATTTCAAAGTGATCGATGTCTAGGTGGACATTTGAAACGTAAATGCTAGATACAAGTTCCTAACAATGCTGATCATAAAAAGAGAAAATGGTCTAATATGGAACATAGTTTTAAAACCTAGGTATCAATATACATGTATTTTGATATAAAATGCAAAAGATGATACCTTTAGTTCTGTAAGGCAGACTATAAAAACTTCGCAAGATAACAAGGCCATGTGCTGGTAATTGTGGTATCAATTAGACGGGTACACTTAAGTGTATATCATCAAAATGTACACAAAGAATGCTTAAATGACAATTTTAGATATACCTAACTGATTTAAATGATAAATAAACGATTTCTTCTAACATATATCATCCAAATCTCATTATCTTGTTGTTTGACCAGCGACAAACTCAGAAACACATGTAGGAAATGCTATAAGCATATTAAATGTGGAAGGAAGTATAGTAATATTAATATTTCCGGATATTTCGTATTTGATAATTTTCACGAATATGTGATATGTGATTTAGTTTATGACATGTATAACACAGATTAAGGTGAATTTGTGTATTTAGAATTGATTTGATAACACATGACTCACATACCACCCGCCGAAAACATAATGTTCTGGCCCCGCAACATTCAGTTGAGTCTGCATGCATGGCAGCGAATGCCATGAATGCTATAGCCATATATTTTTCATATTTATATGAACAAACTTTTCTTAGACCCTTACATTAATCGTTCCCTTATAAAAGTGAAAAAAGAATATCCCATACCACGGAGAACACCAGTACAGTTCGTTACTACAGATACTGTAATGTTACGAGATGCCCATACCCAGAGGTGTCTTTCATGTAGTAGGCATACTGCAATATAACGCAAGAATACATGATGTCGTTCCTTGTAGTAAACTCGGAGACACCCAGATAGTATCATTTTATTGATACTTAACCATAAAAAAAAACTTACCATGATGTACTTCTTAACTTTAGCGTAAATACAAAATGTTTAAAACGTTGATAATTTTTAAATGACTGATAATCTGGATTTCGTTCGTCCGTGTGAATGATTCTAAATGAAGACAATTCTTTGATTGGATATAATCAAAAACAAACACAAGATGCCAAATAGTGCGATTTGGAGAACACTTCGATTTGTTTTTAGTGTGAAAATTGTGCTTATTTTTCTGGAGCACATCCTTAAACTGTCCGCTCATTTGAAGAGAGTGTTGACTGCGCAGACCCTGAAGCGATCCTTAGCAGCTGGATCTCTTATTTACCTATATCTCTGTGCTCTTTTCTTATTCCACAGCAACAGAATTTCTGTGCTACACCGAAATGATCAATTGAAAATTTCATCAAAAAGTGTTCTTACTACAAATCAAGGAGACTTACATGGTAGGTCAGATTTTGTTTTGAACGATAAGAAATCAGTGCGCACACAACTTAGTTACTTGCAACCAAATTTTTCAATAGAACTTGATCCTGTGAACCTTTGGATCGAAACTAGGAGTAAACTGTGCAATGGTAATTTCATCGGTTACAGAAACTTGTTCGCCCACTTGAAGCACGTGCAACTAAATCCCCGACGTTCATTTGGAAAAAAGGGCGGGGAAACTTTAGAAAAGGTCATAGGTCAACCAGAAAAGTACGAGTATCTGAGCCTAGAGAAAGGTTATTTCAAATTAAGTTGTCAAGGCCGACGAATTGTGTATGATTTTTATAAAAAAGATCACTTGAAGCTCTGGCTCTCGGCTGTCAAAGCGACCACGGACAACGACATCGTACGTCCAAAGAATAATAATTTCACAATTGCAGTAACTCGGTACGAATATGCAAATTTGTATCATGTTATGACAGACTGGTTCAATGCATTTCTGATGCTTTTGATTTTTAAAAAGGAGCCTGAATCAACTTCGATTCTTTTGATTGATAGCCATCCTGTTGGTGGTTTGGATAGTGTTTGGACTACGCTTTTTGGTCACGTGACCCGGGCAGGTCACATGACAGAAATCACTACATATAAAGATATGGTATGGAGCATAACTGGATATAATAGTCTGTTAAATCAACATTCTTTGCCCCACGTACCATATCTAGAAGAATTCCGAGAATTTTTCCTTAGTGGATACGGTATTAAAGACAGCAGAAAATTAAACTGTCAAAAATTGTCTATTTTATTCATATGGCGGAAAGATTATGTTTCTCACCCAAGAAATCCTAAGGGAATGATCAAGCGAAAGATAAGGAATGAAATGGAGTTACAAAGAGCCGTTCAACAAGTTTTCCCGTACTACAATGTCACAGGTGTGCAGATCGATTCACTTCCTATGTCGGAGCAACTTCATCTGATCGCCAACACTGACATACTGGTGGGGATGCACGGGGCGGGGCTGTCCTTCACCCTCCTTCTCCCCAGACATGCGTCACTCATAGAACTCTTCCCCCGATACCTCTCTACTAAGAACAACCATTTTAGAGCTATGGCAAAGTGGAGAAATCTTCATTATCTAAGATGGCAAAACAGGAACCCACAAAACGAGTTTCCAAATTTTTACACTTATATACCAATTGATGTAGTAGTGGATAAAGTCAACCAGACTGTAAATTATAAATGTGAAAACTGGATGCGGTCTTGATAGTTATTTAAACTTCTAGAAATTTGTAAATTCTTTATATTTTATGTAGTAGATGAATAAGGTTAAAAATGATGATAAATTAACCAATTAATTTACACAATTCATTGAAAAAATAATTACCTTTATACGGATACAGTTTCAAAGAATGTTTTTTTTTTTTGCATCAACAATTTGATATTTTAATGTAGCATTTTCTCCTGTATAATCAGAATACACTTTATATGATCAAATAATGTCTTGTCTTTCAAGGTAATTGCTTTCCGATTGACAGAAACTTTTCAAATACAAGTGTATGTAAATTAATTTCTTCTCAAATGAGGAAGAAAGTGAAAACATTCTTCATTCGAAGGCAAATATAAACATTTTTTAACAATTTCATGCTATGGATATATTTTATTAACTATTCATACAAAAAAAACCAATAATTTCATTTTATTTTATTCTCGTTCCTCTTATATGAAACAAAAATTATTTTAAAAAAAAATTAACAAAAGAAAACATTCCATTCATTTGCATACCCGTAGTAAATTAAAACAAGATAAGTTTGTGAAACACTGATGCCCCCATATGGCAGCTTATAGCTTTTAAAATGCAAGTCAAATCCAAGGTCCAGGTCCAAATTGTTGGTCTTGTCACAAGGAATACAACTGCTGTGAAATATGAAAGCTCTAGTTTTAACTGTCCAAAAGGTTTGACCAAGGTTAAAGTATTTCAAAGGAGTGGTTCAAACTTCAATTCATTGAAAGCTCTTGTCAGAATGAATACACATTTGAAATATGAAGTCCTGACACCAACTGTTTAAAAGTTATGGCCTAACTTGAAGATTGGAAATTCTTTTGTAAAAGTGGACCAAACGCAAAGGTCATGGTCAAGGGGTCAAATTGGGTGGTACCTTAAGAAAGGTATTGTCACATGAAATACATCTGTGAAATATGACAGCCAATGATAGCCCGACCCACTTCAAAGTTATTGGCAAGGTTAAAGTTTTTGCGGACAAACAGACGGTCAGGGCAAAAACAATTTAACCCCAAATCGACATAAAATAAAATCATGAACTCTTGGTCTTTAACCTATAGAGTAAAAATAAATGGACCAATCATGGACAACAGTGGGGAAAACAGAAATGGGTAAAACCTTTATTCAACGTTTAACAATCATAAAAAAAAAACATCTGTATATCGTAAAAGTGAATCAATAAATATTGTCCACGGATTTTTTTTCTCGATCAGAATTTATTGCAACAGGAGCAAATCAGTCTGGATATCAATATTGACCACGTGGTCATCAAATTGAAAGTGTTCATGCCCAACCCATTGCTTTATTTTACTAGAGGAAACATATATTACATTTTGAACATAAAACAAATCAGCAGAAGAACAGAACACAATATAGTCAAAATATATCAGTATATAAAAAATTCTTAAAGAGGACAGACCGAAAACTTAAATGTCAAAATAAACAACATATATCAACAAAAACAATGAAATAATACATGTACTGAGTAATTAAAATCAGGAAAACTGAACTTTGATCCTTGATGGTTAACATGTACTTATGCATGTGTCAGATTTGTAAGTTCTTCACTATACTGATTGCAGAATACTGCACATCATAACAAACAAAAGATGTTTTCTTTTGTTTTAGACACATAACAAAGTTATCTGAAAGCTGATGGAAAATGACATCACTTCCGTACGTACTTTTTTGGATAACCAATCTCTTGATAGCCACCATTCTGGCATTCTACTTTTGTCTCTTTAAAAAAAAAAAAAACAAAATTACAGTAAATACCCGGTGAGCGCTATTATTCAGCTTGAAAATGAAAAAAATCTACCATGTAGACGTATCATACTGTTTTCTATAAAAAATCAAACTATGCCACAATTGCCTTTGAGAATATAAAAAAACAATTCTACCATTGTCAGACAGAAAATAAAACATTGGTATTAAATTTGCAACAAACAATTTAACTTCACTTGACATTCTCTGATATATAATTGTCTTTCTCTTTGAATATTAAACTATAAAAAACATTTCTTAAGATTCTTTTCAAATGAGAAAAAGTTCATACCGTAGAATGAATAAGAATATTTCCATAGTGATGTAATTGAAATATAAAAAAAAAATACAGCAAACTGTTTTGCCAAAAATGATGTTGAATGACAAAAATATGTGGCAAGTGATCAGAAAAAAATAATGTAAATATGAGAAATGAATTTTATTCCTGAGAATTTCGTGAGGTACATGAACTACAACGCTTCAGGCCTGCATATTTATCATGAAAAACAAAATTAATATCAATCTGTTTTAATAAACAAAACAAATGTCTATTACAAAGGTTACAAAATCACATCTTATACTCAGTTTACCATCTTTTTCATCCATAGACACGTATTCAGTACTTTGGCATTTTGCACTATCTGCTTTTCCAGATTTTTTCAGCTGAGTGCTACCAAAATATAGAAAGAAAAAACATTATGTTCACGGACTATAATAAAAGGGTAACAACTAAAGTCCATTCAGTTTTCAAGAATTACCTTTTTGAACTGCTTGACTTCAGGCAACCTGCAAAAAGTGATTTAAAAGAATTACAAGTGTTATGAATAATCCAATGGAATGAATGTTATCATGATATTTACTGAGCATGTCATTTTGGATATTAATAAATATGCCAATATTAATTGCCAGTTTATCAAATTTATTTAACTGTATGTTTTTGAGTTGCCCCTGATTCACCCAGTATCATTCGTTGCAGAACGAGCTCGTACCTTTTGTCTGTTCGTCCATTGCCAAGTATTCATTGCTTCGTCTTGGATTTGGTGAACAATTTTCGTTCATGGGTACACAACTAAACAGCACAGTAGTAAAAATAAAACAATGAATGCAAAAGTTATTACAATGATCATCTGGCAAAACTATTTGGAAAAATATTAAATATTGATCTTAAGGTGAAGCCAACTGATTTCTTGGTAGTTAAAAAATTATATATACATGCACTAGGAAATGTACAACATAATATTTAATATACATACCCATTTGTGTGACATGTGCCATCATCTGAAATATGATTTAATAACAGAATACATTTATGGGGTTAGATTTTATGATAAATTGGTATTTTTTTTATTGTAAACGACATGAAAGAAATTAAAAAAAAAAAATTAGAAATACAATACAGAGCGGTATATCACAAACTGTAGACTTATATCCAGTCACATCAATCCTTACTTTGGTTTTGACGAGTACTCAGTTTAATGATATCCGGGTCATCCACACTTGCATATTCATTCCCTTCCAAGCTAGCATAAAGATTCACAACAAATGAATTATAGGCATACTTTATCTATTTCAGGAAATAAAAAAATCTGAAGTATATCCTCATCAAAAACTTGAAATTAGAACGCTACATTCTCACGTAAATGTGGATGAGTCAATATCAATTTCTATTCAAACAATGAAATTTTTCACGTTTTTGACATTTTATTAATATGAAATATTTTACTACAGGATAAAAATATGAATGCTTTCAATATAAAAAAAAATAATTATAAAGTCCTTTTTAAAATAATCTTTTTTGTAGCAAAAATATAAATGAATAAATAATGAATACAATCTTAACAAAAATTTACCGATAATATACTTTCGATAACTATAGTAAACACTTTAATACGTTGAATTACTATGAAACTTTACTCTAGAACTTATTTTGAGCTTTCAATGCTTAAAATCACCCAAGATCGACAACAGTGATGTTAAATTCGGAAATAATATGTGAATATACCAGCAAAAGAAAGTTCTATACAATAATTATTAAGGTAAAGATTATTTCAATTTGAATGAAGGAGGAAAGAAAAAAAAATATTTTGATTTCAGAAAATAGAATATTATTTGTAAACAATATAAAGTTACATGATGATGTGTTAGGAGAAGTATTTTCTAAGTATTTTGATTATTGTTGGAGTCCCTTACAGTTAAGTATTTTAGTGTTTTCTCATTCAGATCTCACGTGAAATGTTCAAAAAGGAAAAGAAAATTGAATAATTATTAAACTTACTTCACATGACATGATGCTAAGTGAATTAAAGTGTACAATTAGATTACAATTAAAAATAGCAGTGATATACATGTATACTTTACATATCATATTGCAAGAAAATCAGCTTTCCACAACGAAAATTAAGTAAATATATTCCATATACTAGTATGTACATGTTACGTCGAAAATCTCTCTTCCATGATCGACCAGTTGCAAAACTGTTGTGTTACATTTGTTTCCTAAGAGTGTGGAATTTTGAATTTTTAGTAATCTCCTTACTTTTTATTTGCTTAATGATTCCAGCTTGACGTTATGGTGCTGGAATTGTCTATCATAGGAAAACAAACCAACATTTACCACGTTGATAACTAAAAGCACTGAGTACTTACTCGATCCAAGTAATGGTGAATTCGGGGAATTCATGCAATTAGGTGTCAAGTACGTGTTAACCGAAAGCTGAGCGTCTCTAAAGTAGAGGAAAAATAAAATATGTATGTATTTAAATTACTATAGGTATATTTCATAGATAGTGCAATCCATTTCATTCCTTTGTAATACTTAGATTTATTTGGAATGAAGTTGCTTTTTGCACAACTAATGTTTGTTTATTGTGTCACTTTAATCAGATAAAATTTGCTACCTTAACGTTATTATTAGGATATGCAAAATATAGCGACATTGAAGACCAGTTGTAGCTAGCTAAGAGGATCGAATTATTTGTTAATTTAAGGGATGGCGTTATTTATGAATAATAGTATTATTACACAATAATAATGAAATGATACCAATAAATGATCATCTGCATTAAAAATATATACAATGATTTTTACTTTTTTCTAAAAAGTTTGATCAGTAATATTCATGAATATGTATATAAATAAAATGGATTTCAATTGACAAAAAAGTATTTGTATAAATTAAACATATGTTTTAAAAAGAGTTTTTTTAATGTGCATCTGGAATACTCAATTCTTCTTCATGTATATAAATTGAATTACGTTACCTTAAGTTGCATGCATTTTCTGAGGTTTCTAATTCTGCAATTTTACAGAAACACGAATAAAATATCTCTATAAACAACAATGTGAAAAAGTGCATTCAATTTCATACAATTTAAACAAAAGTAATTTTGGCATACTGCCAACCTTATTTGCTGATACATATCTATCTAGGACAGCTTATAAAACCATGAAAATTACATATACTCAAGGAAAATCAATTAAAGCTTATATAATATATTGATTTCCATTATGATTCTAAGTTTCATGGTACTGAATAATAATAAAATTTATATTTTCTTTCATAACTGCATGATTATGTAATATCCAATAAAATTTCATGCATATAAATAAAGATATTTGTTTGTTTCAACTCAATATTAAATCAAATATCCACAAAAAGCTAAGTTTCTATGGTTGTTAACATTAAAAAAAAAAAAAATAAACTAAGTGTTTACCGCTGTTAAGTCTCTGCATCGAATAACTGTTTCTTCCCAAGGCAATCTGTCTGTTTGGGAAAAGGATATATATACAGAAAAGTACAGAAATATGATGTTGAAAGAAGTGTCTTAGGTATATATCATTTTGAAGATTGAAGCAATATTGTTTTTAATATCAAGGAGCATTCTGTTACAATCGAGAATGTCATATCGCGTATATGAGTAATACAAAGTTTAAAGTTTATTAAAAACAATGGACAATTTTTACAAAAAATGTTAGTTTTCTTTATAAATATCAAATAATAATTTCTCAAGGTATTAAAAGTAATACTTTATTTCAAATTAAATTTCCCATTATTTTTATCAATTAAAAAAGTTTTAAACCAAACCTTTCCAGGAAGGGAGTATTTTTACCTGAATAAATAAACAATAAAACAGCATTAATGTCAGATAAGTTCACTTTTAATAAATGTGAGATAAAATTTTAATTAGTTTGTATTAGATTGATTGATTGATTGTATATTGTTTAACGTCCCTCTCGAGAATTTTTCACTCATGTGGAGACGTCACCGTATGCCGTTGAAGGGCTTCAAATTTAGACCTATACTCGGCACTCAGGACCATTGAGCAGTGAGGGTTCTTTAACGTGCCAACGCCTACCGTGACACGGGACCTACGTTTTAAAGGTCATATCCGAAAGACTCGTGACTTTCACTTCTAGTGCCGAGCGCTTGGCGATGGAACAGTCACTACCTATGCTTACGTCTCAGGTATAACGCGCCGCCGTGAACGAGAATCGAACCCGGGCCTCCCGATCACGAAGCGAACGCTCTACCTGATTGTATTACAAGCAAATAATATCATTACGTTTTCTTCTCCTTCGATGATTTACGGCAATCAGAACTAACATCAAAATGAACAAAAGTCCTATTCCACCAACCACAGTGAGAGCAACAAAGGTTGTGTCTGACATCGGCCTCTGATTGGCTGAAACGATTTATTATGCAAATTCATGTAATGGATACATTTTGATGTAATTGTAATAACATTTCAAAGAAAATTATATTCTTTTTTAAAGTACAAATTTAACAAAGATTTAGAGGCTATAACTCACTTGGCGAATATAACGATACTGATAAAGTGAATAGAATATGAGTTAAAGATCACCATACCTTGTAAAGCTCTGGAAAGAATGCTGCCCATTTTAATTTTAAATGTGGAACTGCAGTTTTTCCCGAGGACATTTGTTGTGCATAATTGAAGAATATAAACTTTGGACATAGAAAGGTTTGTCAATCGATATTCATATATTTTTGCATTTTGTCCTGGAACTCTGAAGATGTCTTGGATTCCGGTGTCATTTTTTAGAATGACTTCGTACTTCATGTCAATATCAGGATACTTTGTCTCCCATTCAAGTAAAGCAAAACCTTCGAATGCGTTGAAATGGATATGGAAAGGTTTACTAGGAAAATCTGCAAAACGTTATTATAAAAGATCTTATAATAAGAAATATCCTTCTAAAATTTTAATTTACATACAAAATAGCTTAGAATTGTAAAACTCTTACCGTGTCCTTTTGCCAAAAACGTATGAGTTACGTTCCCCATCGCATTTTTAGCGATTAATTGGTATATTGTGCGAAACCTGTTTTCTATTTTGCCGAAGTCCAAATCCACGATAATTCCATCGATTTTGACTATTTTGTTATAAATGTCCACACGCACTGGTCCCTTTGCCTCCGTTTTGTTGATCTTGTTAACTTCTTGTCCCTCTAGGACAATGATTGAGGACTGAGGTGCCGGATGTCCGACTAATTCAAACTTTAACTTAAATCTCCTCCCAACTTGGCCATAGTATTCAGGTTTCGGATCAAGGATTCGTGGAATAGCTTTGGTTTCCAATTCAAATATAGACAGTAAATATAGACAAAAAATATATATATAGACAGTTTAATCCATTAAAGGTATATGTGTTATACTCTAAAAGCTTAAATGACTACTTTTGACTATAAATTACCTTTTATGAGCACATCCAACTGAGCAGTTTGATTAATCTTTCCTTCTAAATTTGGAACTCCATTCCCCATCGAACACGTGTAACATCCGGTGTCATTATAACTAACCTTTATAAGAAAGTGACAAAACTCATCAAATTTTAAACAAAGAAACTTATACAATTATAACATTTCTAATTTTTACTTTGTTAAAATGCTCACAGAGTTCAAGGTAAGAGTAAATCTATTGTCATCTGGGTTGACAAGAGAATCATCAGAATCTAGTTCTCTTATCAACTGGTTCTCGCGCCAGTGTTGCCAGTGCAGATTACTGTAGTTTCTTGGAAACCCATCCACTACGATGTCACAGAAAAGTGTCACGGTGTCCGTTCCTTCGTCCACCGTGGTGTCGTTACTGGATCTTAGTGTTGGTGGATCTGAAAGGTAATGCTTAATTTACAATGACTGTTAATGGATCCGACGGTATTGTACTGCATAATGAAGATTTAGGTTAAGGTCTCCAACCAATTTTTAATTCAATGAAAATAGATAATTATGACGACATACTTGTACAATTTGCACGTGACTGGGACTGTTCATAGTTAGTTCCACCTTCAAAAACTATCCGATTATACTTATTATTTAAAAAGTTATTTATTTTCATTACAAGTCACTAAATTCTAGTAGCAGTGAGCACCTAGAAATTCCATTTTACTTACACTCGACAATTAAGGTGACTGTTGCTAATGTGGAGTAAATCCCTTTATAGTTAACGGTCACGGTGCAGGTGTAATTTCCTGCAGAAGTTCTAGAGACATTCTGGAAACTCAAAAGTAATGGTTTGTTTTGGTCTGACCATTTTATAACTGAATTGTCGTGTTTCCACGAGACATTGGATATTGGGGCACCAGTGAATGTACATGGAATGGATAAATTGGCACCTTCCCTGATGATGTAGTTAGTTTTCTGTAGAGTTGTAACAGGTTCATCTATCAAAAATGGGAAGAAAAATATTTTTGCAAAGAAAACAATCAAATGTAGTATTGCTCACACATAAAAACACATTTTTGTCCATGACCCTGTACGTTGTCAAACAAGAAAGTAATTGGGGCCGTCGTTCAACTAAGCATTACTCTCGTCTTCTAAAATCTGCGCTCTTTGTAAAAGTTAATTTATCAATTCGATTAAATAAAGATCAAGCTGATGAAGTCAAGACTAAAAATTCTTCAGAAAATTGTTTTTTAAAGCACTTGTACAATTGTAAATTATACTACCGGGTTGTAAAATAACTGTGGTTTTTCCATGCTCCTCCTCTTTCGTTGATGTCGTGCTATTGGTGTAAGTATAATTACAGCCCCATGTTGTTCTGTCCACCGGTTTCAGGATCCCGTATGTTAGTGTGTCTCCATGGCAAGCTATGCTGTAGTTCTTCCGCCTGTCTGATGGAACTCCACAATGTCCGCCATTAAATATGGCAAACTTGAAGCCATGTTCTCCAGGGATATGAAGAGTAGCTGCTTCCCAATACGACGGAAATGTACAGTTAAAGAAGAACGGTTTTCCATAAGTCACATTAGAAATCGGTGATGGATCAACCAAGACAAGAAGATCTATGAAGTAATGTTAAAATGTTAATTTAGTATAGAGTAACAGTTCATAACAATATTGTTATTGCTTAAAATAAAATGTACATGTACATGATTGTGTTTATTTGTCAACATGATGATGATTTCATTTTCTAATGTCATTAACAAGTGTATTTAAAGAAACTCGTTAACATAAATTGAATTTTTAAAAAAGTGCATAACTTCCTGTGACATTAAAACAAAATACTGAATATTGAACAGAGACAGGAAGATGATTTATTATTTAAAAAAACAAAAAAAACTTTTCTAATGGAATTTGGAACGACTTCCACTAGTTATTAAATAGCATGGATTCATATATATAGTTATATATATAACATTTTAGACTTGCTTGTTTATCGAAATAATATTACCAAATCATAATGATTTTAATACTGAACAATTATTTAATAAACCTTTTAATGACATATATAGATACGTTAATAAAGAGAATTGGCTCTCATGGTTGATTGTCTTTTTTAAAACCGTTTTTCCATACTTTTTCTACTGCATGTATTATTTAGCTATGTGGAATTTTCCTGTGACTTTTTTCTTCTTTACGCAGTCGACACACATTACGAGACTAAACAACAGTTTGTTCTCGTAAAACACTGATTAATATTTTCAAGACACAGGTTTTCGTCCAGTATCCTGATATTTCTTTTGGATATCTTAGAGTTTTTTTTACTAGTTAAAAGATACAATAAAGTGTAGGAAACTTACGGACATGTTCCGGAAAAAATAGCAGCAGGAAAAATCCAAAAACGGTCACCATCTTCCTACAGGAGAAAGGAAAATTCAACAAGAAGAGGATTGTTTTTCTACCAGGCTCAAACAAACTCGTTTTTTTTTTATAATAATCGTAAAAACACTCAAAGAAGTACATGTAAATAGGCAAGAGCTGCAGTTTAGAATTCTTCAATGATCAACGTATAAAGTTGTGATGTTTGAATTAACAGGGTGGAAGGGTATATGATTTTCATAACATGTGAAACAATTATCGTGTTGAACAAGTATATTTAATCTCTACCATTAGATAAGTATTCAATATAGGAACATACCCCCACAAAATAAGAGCGAAGTACAGGAAAGATCTACGGATTAACCTATGTTTAGTTATTTACATTTGTCATTCTAATTAAAAAAAATCCTTTTATCCCCTTTTCTGGGGAAATCATATACAAATTTTGGAAAAGGACATGTTTTGTTCTTATACAATGATATTGAGTCAAACTATAATCAAATTTCCGTCCAATCCTCGATGGGATACTAACAGAAATAAATTTCAGACTTAAAAAAAATAACTTCATGGTAGTGATAGTGTACGCAACGGGACGTTAAAACTGTTGGTGTAATCATAATACACACATCAATATACTCTTTAATTAAATTGTCATTTTTTAAAACTACATCGGGAAATGCTGAGTGAAGGATTTCCGAGCGATTCCACACATTTTTTTAATTTATATTTCTATTTATTTAACATAAATCTGTTAAGTAATATCCACTTATACTTTTTAAACATTTTAAATAGAATTACGTTAACCCTGCGGAAAGCATATCAAATATAACAAGCTAATTTACTATTTAGCTTCACAAAAATATACAAGAATAAAAATCTTTGGCACTGTGGGAATCATCCAACGATTTATAGCGGTTCCAATTGATTACAGTAAAATAATTCAAAGCTGAAGTTTTAAGGTCCAAATATAGAGTATATAGAGTGCTTAACTATAAATACTCCCGATTTGTATGGTTTCCATTACTTCTGAACATCATAACCGTTCGTTAATTATAATTAATTTTCATTCATAATTATCGATATTTAAATTTAAATTTTCGATAATGTACCATCGGATAAGTAATAAATTATAAAACTGTTTTTGTGCACTATACATACTTCATTTCAAGGTCTAAGATCTCTACTAATATTTGGATCCAGAAACGAAGAATAAAAAGCTCCTATTAACCATCTTGGATAAAGAAATGCAAAATTAATACACATGTAGACCTATGTAGGTTTTTCATTTTACAGAAGTTAATAAATAACTTATTTTACATATACAATAGAAGTTTATGAAATTCTAGGTACATGTAATCTATAAACTTTTTCTCGTATTCCTCGCATGTTTGAAAATATTCATTTTAAATCATTACCATGTTTGTATCCATGTAAAACGATTATTGACCACAGAAGCTAAGCTACTGTAAGGGTCGGTCTGGACCAGAATGGCAGTAAAAGTGTCCGAATTAAGGACAAACAAAATGAAAGAAAGAGCAATCTAACAAGAATAAAGACAAATCAACAAACCAGAGTCATTAAAATGTCTTCTGAACATTGCTAATTTTTTACTTTTTAACTACATGAATAAATAAAATTTACATTTGTCTCAGCTTGATTATTTTATATTTCTAGTTTGTGCACCTCTCAAAATACTTAATCGCAAGATGTTCTTAATTTTACAAATTTTTAGAATTCATTCTTTCAATTTTGCAAGTACTTGTGAATAGAGAGTAAAAACTTTTAATTAAGCATATATCAACTTTGCTATCTAATTAAATAACCACTAAAACTCCGATAAGAGAATACCTCTTCATTTCTGAGATGAAAGCATCCATAATTTCACTCCAAATCATTTGTTATTTTCATTTTAAAATATATTGAAGTTCAAAATATCCAACATATATTTTTTTTTAATATTTTAATTTCTATTTTTTAAATGTTTCTATAGAAAACCCAAGTTACTCACCGGATCTTTATATATGTTGGTCAGATATTAGATTGTGTAAGAAGGCTTGGGGTGTAGTATTTATACCAGTGAAAACGGGAAATGAAACACAAGACACAACATCAATGTCTGATAGGAAATAAACTTCCTTAAATCAAATCTTTCCCATTAGATTCCTTACTTGATCATTAAATTGTTTAACCTCTACTAACTGTAGAAGCAAAATGTTGCCTTGATATACAGTTCACATTTGACCAAGGTCAATTCTCTTGCACGAAAAAAAATTGGGCTTTCGAAAGAGTATGATTTTTTTTCTTTTTGGAGTGCAAAACTTAATTATTCAGGTCAAAGTTGAATGACCTGTTGATCTCCTCTTTAACAGTCCCCCTGGCGGTGGATAGGGCTACAGGATTCCTCTTCGTTTGTCTCCCAGTCAGTCTGTCTCTTCAGTTGTCTAACTGTCCCTCTGTCTGCCCATTGAATTTTTCGCCACCTTTTTCTGAACACTTGCAGATATTGAGCTGTTTTTGGTAATTGGGTGTATCATGATAAGTTACAGATCAAGTTTTCATTTCGTTTAGCTTCAATGATTTTTGACAGAAAAACTTTTTTTTCTTAACTTTTGAGGATTTTCCGCAATTTTTTTTAAAGAAAGAGGGCGTGTAAGGCGTGGAAAATCCCCCGCTCTGAGACAAAATGTTTCTCAATTTTCAAAATTCACTGAAAAGTTATATTTTTCTAAAATCATGTTCTCAGTAATGTCATCTTCAAAACATTTTATCATTTTGAAGGACTTTTTTTATTTGATAATCTTTATTTCAAAGTTGATAGTTAAGAATATTTAGTGGAAAATGGGTTTACTAGAGCTATAAAAATTGAATTTTGAACATGAATGGGTCAAGTCTCCATTCTTCGATAACGCTTAAATGATGGAAACGTAAATGTGAAATATATTTCATTTGTCTAAAAAATGGAATATGAACCCATTTTATATGAAAATCGAAAATTTCTGAAAAAGATGATATAAACAATATAATTTTGAAAATATAACTTTTAGAATTAAAAAATGTCTTTTCTCAGAGAGGGGGATTGTCCTCGCCTTGTACGCCTCCATTTTTTGCAGTTATTAAGCTGATGTTTTGGTCTTTTACTTTACCTTGCAATTGATGAGGTTGAGATCGTTTTTCATTTCCTTTCGCTTCAATGATTTTTTACGGAATTTTGGTAGTTTAAATTTTCTAATGGGGACTAATGACGCTTTTGCAATACTCTCAAAACGCGTGTCTGTCTGAGCTTTTAATGTGGGACTTCTGTTTGGTTTGTCACACTTTTGTCCTACATGCTTGCAGATATTGTGCTGATATGTAATATGTTAGTCTATTGTCGTGTCTAGTTTTGACGGTTTATTAAAGCTTGGGGAACTCGCTTGCAGTGAGGGACCGTTTTGACCCAGTCTCCTGTCCAGTACGGTTTGTAATGACTGTAAAATATATACAAGAGGCCTATGGGCCACATCCCTCACCTGAGCGCTGTGGCTAGGAAAAAGTAGAAATTGGTTCATTATTGAAAAGTTTCAATCCAAAAGTAGTCCCATGACCAATCATGGCTTTGCTATTCTTGAGAAAATGATTTTTAAAATTTTTTCCTATATATAACTATGTAAAACTTTGAGTGGCCATTGTGGCTCCTCCCTATACCCGGGGGTCATAATTTGAAGAAAAGTAAACATACACAACCTGATGATGCTTCCATATAAATATGATCAATTATGGCTTTGCAATTCTTGAGAATTTTTTTTTTAAATCCTATATATTTCTATGTAAAAATTTGATCGGCCATTTTGGCCCCGCCTTACCCCCGGGGGTCATGATTTGAACAAATTTGAATTTACACAACCTGGGGATGATTTCATATAAACATGATCATTATGGCTTTGTTATTCTTGAGAATAAGATTTTTAAAGAATTTTCCTATATATTTCTATGTAAAACTTTGGTCGGCCATTTTGGCCCCGCCCTATCCCCGGGGGTCATGATTTGAACAGACTTGAATGTACACTACTTGGGGATGCTTCCATATAAATATGATCAATTATGGCTTTATTACTCTTGAGAAGAAGATTTTTAAAGAATTTTCCTATACATTTCCATGTAAAACTTTGGTCGGCCATTGTGGCCCCGCCCTATCCTCGGGGGTCATGATTTGAACAAATTTAAATCTACACTACCTGAGGATGCTTCCACATAAATATGATCAATTATGGCTTCGTTATTCTCGAGAAGAAGATATTTCTATGTAAAACTTTGGTCAGCCCTACCCCCGGGGGTCATGATTCAAACAAACTTGAATCTACACTACCTGAGGATATTTCCCCATAAGTTTCATCATTCCTGGCACAGTGGTTCTTGAGAAGAAGATTTTTAAAACATACCACCAAATTTTCATTAATTCCCAATTATCTCCCCTTGAATGAGGGCGTGGCACTTCATTTGAACAAACTTGAATCCCCTTCACCCAAGGATACTTTGTGGCAAGTTTGGTCGAAATTGGCCCAGCGGTTCTTCAGAAGAAGTCGAAAATGTGAAAAGTTTACAGACAGACAGACAGACGGACAAACAGACGCCGGACAAAATGTGATCAGAAAAGCTCACTTGAGCCTTCGGCTCTGGTGAGCTAATAACCAGGAAAAACGTAAATAAAATGTAACTTCTTTTATTGCTGTCTTCGATCAGATCTTTACAAGAAAATATAGTCACCAGTTACAATAAGTACAAGAGGCCCATGGTCCACATCGCTCACCCGAGCATTGTGGCTAGGAAAAAGTAGTAATTGGTTTACTATTGAAAAGTTTAAATCCAAAAGTTTGGCCCCCGCCCTACCCCCGGGGGTCATGATTTGAACAAACTTGAATCTACACTACCTGAGGATGCATCCATATAAATATGAGCAATTATGGCTTTGCTATTCTTGAGAAGATTTTTAAAGAGTTTTCCTATATATTTCTATATAAAACTTTGGTCGGTCATTCTGGCCCCGCCCTACCCCCGGGCGTCATGATTTGAACACACTTGAATGTACACTACCTGGGGATGCTTCCATATAAATATGAGCAATTATGGCTCTGCTGTTCTTGAGAAGAAGATTTTTATAGAATTTTCCTATATATTTCTATATAAAACTTTGGTCGGTCATTCTGGCCCCGCCCTATCCCCGGGCGTCATGATTTGAACACACTTGAATGTACACTACCCTGGGGATGCTTCTATATAAATATGAGCAATTATGGCTCTGCTGTTCTTGAGAAGAAAATTTTTAAAGAATTTTCCTATATATTTCTATATAAAACTTTGGTCGGTCATTGTGGCCCCGCCCTACCCCCGGAGGTCACGATTTGAACAAACTTAGATCTACACTACCTTGGGATGCTTCCATATAAATATGAGCAATTATGGCTCTGCTGTTCTTGAGAAGAAGATTTTTAAAGAATTTTCCTATATTTTTCTATATAAAACTTTGGTCGGTCATTCTGGCCCCGCCCTACCCCCGGGCGTCATGATTTGAACACACTTGAATGTACACTACCTGGGGATGCTTCCATATAAATATGAGCAATTATGGCTCTGCTGTTCTTGAGAAGAAGATTTTTATAGAATTTTCCTATATATTTCTATATAAAACTTTGGTCGGTCATTCTGGCCCCGCCCTATCCCCGGGCGTCATGATTTGAACACACTTGAATGTACACTACCCTGGGGATGCTTCTATATAAATATGAGCAATTATGGCTCTGCTGTTCTTGAGAAGAAAATTTTTAAAGAATTTTCCTATATATTTCTATATAAAACTTTGGTCGGTCATTGTGGCCCCGCCCTACCCCCGGAGGTCACGATTTGAACAAACTTAGATCTACACTACCTTGGGATGCTTCCATATAAATATGAGCAATTAGAGAAGAAGATTTTTAAAGAATTTTCCTATATTTTTCTATATATAATGCCATTGTTTCTGGGGGACATATGAACAAACTTAATCTATACATATGTTTCCCCTTAAGTTTAATCTTTCCTGGCACAGTGGTTCTTGAGAAGAAGATTTTTAAAACATACCACCAAATTTTCACTAATTCTCAATTATCTCCCCTTGAATGAGGGCGTGGCCCTTTATTCATACAAACTTGAATTCCCTTCACCCAAGGATACTTTGTGGCAAGTTTGGTCGAAATTGGCCCAGCGGTTCTTCAGAAGAAGTCGAAAATGTGAAAAGTTTACAGACAGACAGACAGACGGACAGACGGACGCCGGACAAAATGTGATCAGAAAAGCTTACTTGAGCCTTCGGCTCAGGTGAGCTAAAAAATACATAGATTATGCTCAATGGCATTTACAAATTAAAGTGACCTTAATCTACCTTACCTGGTGATCAATAAAGTGATCAAACAATTTTCAAAATACTTACTCTATATCAAAATAAAACTGAACAATATTGTAAGCGATTAAAATATTTACCTGAGTTTAGGCTCACTCATAAAGAAAAATAATCTCAAACAAAGAAAATTGTAAATATGTCATAACAATAAAATCCACATAAAACTGAACAATATTGTAAGCGATTAAAATATTTACCTGAGTTTAGGCTCACTCATAAAGAAAAATAATTATATATCATAACAATAAAATCCAAAATCTTTTAACATTCAAACATATACATTACAAACTTTAAAATAATTGATTTAAACATATTTTATTGAAACATAATCAATCGGATCAGACACAAGTTATTCCAACTTAGAATGTCTTCTCCAACACACACACATACACACACACACACACACACACACACACACACACAAATTCATATACACGTGATGAACAACAAACAAATCTATGTACAATGCAAACAAGAGGCCCATGGGCCACATCGCTCACCTGAGCACAAAGGGTAGGAAAAAGAAGAAAATGGCTTTTTATTGTAAAGTTTAAATCCAAAAGTAGTCCCATGACCAATCACGGATTTGCTATTTTTTAGAAAATGATTTATAAAGAATTTTCCTGTATATTTCTTTAAAAACTTTTGTCGGCCATTTTGGCCCCGCCCTACCCCTGGGGGTCATGATTTGAACAAATTTGAATCTACACTACTTAAGCATGCTTCCATATAAATCTGATGAATTACGGCTTTGTCATTCTTGAGAAGATCTTTAAAGAATTTTCCTATATATTTCTATGTAAAACTTTGGTCGGTCATTTTGGCCCCGCCCTACCCCTGGGGGTCATGATTTGAACAAACTTGAAACTACACTACCTGAGCATGCTTCCATATATATATGATCAATTACAGCTTGGCAATTCTTGAGAAGATTTTTAAAGAATTTTCCTATATATTTCTATGTAAAACTTTGGTCGGCCATTTTGGCCCCGCCCTACCCCTGGGGGTCATGATTTGAACAAACTTGAATCTACACTACCTGAGCATGCTTCCATATAAATATGATGAATTATGGCTTTGTCATTCTTGGGAAGAAGATTTTCAAAGAATTTTCCTATATATTTCTATGTAACACTTTGGTCGGCCATTTTGGCCCCGCCCTACCCCTGGGGGTCATGATTTGAACAAACTTGAATCTACATTACCTGAGCATGCTTCCATATAAATATGATGAATTATGGCTTTGTCATTCTTGAGAAGATTTTTAAAGAATTTTCCTATATATTTCTATGTAAAACTTTGGTCGGCCATTTTGGCCCCGCCCTGCCCCCGGGGGTCATGATTCAAACAAACTTGAATCTACACTACCTGAGGATATTTCCCCATAAGTTTCATCTTTCCTGGCACAGTGGTTCTTGAGAAGAAAATTTTTAAAATATGCCACCAAATTTTCATTAATTCCCAATTATCTCCCCTTGAATGAGGGCGTGGCCCTTCATTTGAACAAATTTGAATCCCCTTCACCCAATGATACTTTGTGGCAAATTTGGTTGAAATTGGCCCAGCGGTTCTTGAGAAGAAGTCGAAAATGTGAAAAGTTCACAGACAGACGGACGCCGGACAAAATGTGATCAGAAAAGCTCACTTGAGCTTTCAGCTCAGGTGAGCTAAAAAGAAGAGAAGGGTGCAGAGAGATAAGAAAGGAAGGGAATAGGAGTGCACGGAAAGATAAAAGAAGGAAGGGGATGTAAAGGATACAGAATGGTTACGCTTGCGGTTCAAAAAATCTTTTCGAATTTTTAATATACACAGGAAAAATGTCCACATGTGTTAAACATATGTTTGGTTTCACATGTGTTCAACACATGTTTTATACATGTTATACATGTGTGTAAATAAACACATGTAAAATATGTGTTTCATTTATATGTAAAACATATATAATATACACATGTTATACACCTGTGAGATAATATATATGTTAAACACATGTTTTTCACCACACATGTATAACACGTATTATATATATGTAATATATGTGTGCAAAAATACAGATGAATTATACATGTTTAATTTATACAAAATATATGTGTATTCATAAACACATGTTATACAAATGTTAAGTTTTATCTCATATGTGTGTGTACATTAATTCAAAAGAATTTGTAAATGTTAGTAAAATTTTACTCATGTAAAGTTTTACTTTGTTTATCCCCCCCCCCCCTTTTCCCTTCTAAAAAAAAACTTTCACAATTTTTTTTCTGTAATAATGCATTTATCAGATAAAATTGATAAAGAATGAATTCATTTTCTTTTCATTTTAAATCTTTTGGGCTTGGCTTACTTCTTGAGTAAAATTAAAATAATTCCGTATTGTCTCCGGGCCGGTTTTGTCTTTTATCGGATGAAAATATACGTCATTTTTGACGTCACTGCTGCAGCAGACGTGCTGATGAAAGGTAAGTGATCTCCAAACAATTTTTAAAAGACTTTTAATTCATATTGTTGAAATATCATTTCATTATAGTTACAGGTGCGTATGAACTTTCTATATATAATCGCTTCTCATTATATCGCGGATTCCATTTTATCGCGGTACATTCCAAAAATTCAGATACATAGCTCATATCCTTTCTGTTAAAATACTATCTGTTTGTCGTCCGAATGTAAACTTTTTTGATGATTAAAAAGTATGGAACATGCGTCGGTAACTTTTTTATTCAAATAAAAGTAATTTTACAGATTTCCATTCCCGTTTTTTATCATATTTAGATCATTGATTTTATAACCTAGTAAAAACCATAATAAAGTTTATGTTTCGAAAGTCTTTAGTTTGTATAAATGTTTATTTTTTATGTAGAATTACACCGTAAATATAAAAATAAAAATTGAAGTCCATATCAGCCACAAGTTTCCATGTTTTCCTATACCGCGATACTATGAGACTCTACAATTCAGGAGGTAAATAAGACTTCCCGTTTTAAAATTAGACAACAAATTAACCAATGCAAACTTGAGAAATAATTTGACACTAAAAAGTTAGGCTATAGATTGGTTAATGGATAGTATTTGATGAAAGTTAAAAGTAAAAAATTGGAATAGGGTGAGTTCACTATGCATCGGACACATACCTTGCTTCGGACAACTTGAGGCAATAAACTCTCTTTCAACTTAAGTGTTCTGTGTATTTATTTGTTTCTGTCATAAAGACGAGGATTTAAATTTTTTAATGATACCGATTGTGTTTATCATGTTGTGATAAAAATACCCCGCAAATGGCCTTGAAGTTACGTCATATTTTACATCATCAAAGGGGAATAACCCGAAATTTATGATTTTGCAATTTTTAGAGTTATCGTTCTTTTAAATTCGACTTCTACGGAACGAGTCGGACTTGGGTGAATTTTGTCAGAGATTGGTAATTTTACATAAATAATAATTAAATTTCACTTCAATGTTTGTTTAATTCTTATTAGAGCTGGTTTTTACTAATATGCTATTTTCACCGTACATCGGACACAAATTAACCATGCATCGGACACTTTTCGATGCAAAGGTAAGCACTACCATTTTCATATAGAACCCAGCTGACAGCTGTTTTTTGCGGAAAAAGAAAATAAAAACTCTATATTTTCAGTCAAAATACAAGTTATCAATATATGACGTATGGAATTTTACTATATTTATTTCTACAAACCAGAGTGTGATAAACCATGAGAAAAAGGCGCGAATTACGGCATTATAAGCATTTTAAAGCATTTCTAAGGCAGAGTGAGGTCTCGAGAATTGTTCTACATTTGTGCAATAATATCGTCGATTAAATTAAAGTTGAGGGATATTTCTTAGATAAAAGATAAAAATATATCCATATCAGGGATTTTAAAGCACTGTGGTAAAGGTAATATATTTCCCGGCCTCCATTCCGTCTGTCCGATGCATGGTGAACAATGTCCGATCCATGGTGAATTTTCAGTTTTTTCTAAAAACTCGATTTTGGGGGATATTTTCTCAATAAACGGCATATAATTGTGTCCTAAATTGTTATTTTAATCACAAACTAAATGTTAAATATGATAATTTTCCATCGGTAGCGATATCGCTAGAACTTGTTAAAGTACAAGGGTATCCGATGCATGGTGAATTCACCCTAACACTTTTTATGCAAAAGGATTAAGTACCGCGATATTATGAGACACCAGTATACATGTAATACGCTTATCATTGTGACTTGTCATGCATTTCGTAAACCTAACGATAGTGATCTGTAAGTAATTTTGATGAAAAATGTTTCTGACTGAATGTAAGCACGGGCACTGGAAGTTAATGTAAATATATAGTATGTGTATGTATAAAAAAGACCCTTCTTTTTTTTTATACATACACATACTATATTATTTATATTAACTTCCAGTGCCCGTGAATGTAAGCGGTTACATGTTAGGCTAAAGGCATTACTATTTTTTATAATTTGTATACAGGTAAGTAATTTTGGATAAATTTGTTTCTGAATAAACGTAAACATTACATGTTAGGCTATTTTTAAAAGGCATTATTGGTTTTCCTTTCATGGTTACGTACTGATATGAAAGTGAAAGTAGAAACCTTGAAACCATTGTGACTTGAGATGGCTGTCAAGTCGATTCTTTCATCAACTTAATAACAAGTGTTTGTTTTTATGGCCTATAGATGCATGCAGTAACTTGAGTTCAGTGTCACATTGCTGCGTCTAAAAAGCCCAAAGCTGATAAGACTGGCGATTGATCCTAAGGCTGATTTGACAGATGATTGGATCAGCACAATATTAAAGGTAAAAATAAATACTTCCAAGAAAAATCAAAGTAAACATCTGTGATGACTCCTTCATGACAAAATATTTCTTGATACATTGTAATTTCTTTTTGTTCCTTTATAATTCTACATTTGTTGTTTGCACGACTTCATAAATAATAAGTCCAACTCAATGCTACAAATACAATAATTTTATTCTATATTATAATATAAAACAGTTTTAATCCAGTGCACTTTTAAAATATGGAAAGTATGAATAGAATTTGCTGGCTTTAAAAGCTATGAAGCTGGTACGTGTACTGTAAATGACTTCAGGGGGGAGGGGGGGTTATTGAATTTTTGAATTTTAGTTAAAAATTAATAATAACAGTGACATCCAACTATCAAGGTACAAGTACATGTGCATATGTGTTGATTGTTGAAAGTACATCAGCTAGCTAATCCATTGGATATTTACATCTATTATGTACCGGTATTCATTACCTGACATTTATTATTTTTTTCCAACACTAGAGAACAGTTTCTGGTAAAATGTAAGATATTAATTAAGACTGTTAAGAACCTACAAACATGTACTCTCTCTTTTTAGCTCTACTGGTCAGAGACCAGAAGAGCTTATGCGATAGTAATGCGTCCGGCGTCCGTCCGTCTGTCTGTCTGTCCGTCCGTCTGTCTGTCCATCTGTCTGTAAACAATTTTTCAAAACGCTACTCCTCCTACAATTTTAGTCTGATTTCAATATAACTTGGCACACAAGTAGATTACACTAAGATACATAGAATAGTGCATGGGTTTTTAATTTCGATGAACGGTGTTGCCATGGTTACTAAAAATAGAATTTTCTGTGAAATTCCTTTAAAATGCTACTCCTTCCACAGTTTTGGTCTGATTTCAATATACTTTGGCACACAAGTAGACTACACGAAGATACATAGAATAGTGCATCGGTTTTCGATTTCGATGAACGGTGTTGCCATGGTTACTAAAAATAGAATTTTCTGTGAAATTCCTTTAAAACGCTACTCCTTCCACAGTTTTGGTCTGATTTCAATATAACTTGGCACACTAGTAGACTACACTAAGATACATAGAATAGTGCATCGGTTTTTGATTTCGATGAACGGTGTTGCCATGGTTACTAAAAATAGAATTTTCTGTGAAATTCTTTAAAAACGCTACTCCTTCTACAGTTTTGGTCTGATTTCAATATAACTTGGCACACAAGTAGGCTACACTAAGATACATAGAATAGTGCATCGGTTTTTAATTTCGATGAACGGTGTTGCCATGGTTACTATAAATAGAATTTTCTGTGAAATTCCTTAAACGCTACTCCTTCTACAGTTCTAGTTTGATTTCAATATAACTTGGCACACAAGTAGGCTACACTAAGATACATAGAATAGTGCATCGGTTTTTAATTTCGATGAACGATGTTGCCGTGGTTACTAAAAATAGAATTTTCTGTGAAATTCCTTAAAAACGCTACTCCTTCTACAGTTTTGGTCTGATTTCAATATAACTTGGCACACAAGTAGACTACACTAAGATACATAGAATAGTGCATCGGTTTTTAATTTCGATGAACGATGTTGCCATGGTTACTAAAAATAGAATTTTCTGTGAAATTCTTTAAAAACGCTACTCCTTCTACAGTTTTGGTCTGATTTCAGTATAACTTGGCACACAAGTAGACTACCCTAAGATACATAGAATAGTGCATATATGATTTCGATGAACGGTGTTACCATGGTTACTAAAAATAGAATTTTCTGTGAAATTCCTTAAAAACGCTACTCCTTCTACAGTTCTAGTTTGATTTCAAAATAAGTTGGCACACAAGTAGACTACACAAAGATACATAAAATAGTGCAATGGTTTTTGATAAGTACATACCAGTAGAGCTACAGTCTCGACAGAGACTTCTGGTTTGTAGTTGTAGTTTTGTAGTTTAATTGAGTTTTAGTTATGCTTAGAAGATATCTACTGCATGAATATTTGTTTTACAGGTTCAATATACAGTCAGCGTCTCATAAGAATAAATCCCAAGATCCAAGACTTGCTTAAAAGCTTAATTAAGGTAACTACACACTGTTAAATAAATTTTGTTATATTCTTCCCAACAACGTTTGGGATATCCTGGAATCACAGTCTATTTTTGTGCCTGTCTACTTCTCTGTAGTATTTTTTGTCCAAAAATAAAATATTTGTGTCAGAATCTTCTTAATTTTTGGCAATATGAATTAGTAATACTGTTTGAACATTCCAAATTTAATTGTCAAAATCAAAAAAAAAAATGCTTTTTATGACTTTATTATGAAGCATATCTTCCAACAGTGTAATTATCTTGCAAATTACATCATAGGATTCCACAAAACACCTAGTATAGCATATATAACATTAGTTTTATCTCTTATCATATCTCTGTTGGTGAATTGGGCATACATTTGTTTGCTGAACTTTAATTAAAATATTACTTGTAGAATTGATTTTGTAATTTAAGAATTGTTTTATTTTTACTTTTGAAATTTTTGTAGAGACCATTCTGTGCCACAAAGAAATTGTTCAGGAAAGGGAGAAATGGTGGATTTGCATTTTGGGTACAGTTCAAAGAGAGTTCAAAATGGTCAAGCTCATGGAAGATCAGAGGGAGGACAACTGAAGAAAACTGAAAGATACAGAAGGAAAAAGAACAAGAAAATATATGAAATAATTATGAAATTGGGAGGATGTACACAATCTTGTCTGCATTTGACCTGTAAAGATTTAATTCCCATTCTTATTTGTATGCTGTAATAGCAAATAACTTGATTTTTCATAAATTTACAATAGAGAATACATGACAAATGTTATATGTGATATTTCAATTTTGCTTTGGACACTTTCATGTCAAATCATATAAATTATAAAAAAGTACATGGACTAATTATGTTATTCATTTGTACATGTATGCATGTTAAAACTAATCATTTTGTGGAAATCTTATAATTGTACTCAACTTAGAATATGTAAAATATATGTATCGACAAATGCTACTGACTTGTTTGTATACTTTCCTGTTTAGAAAGTACACTGAAAAGTAAGTTATTTCTCTTGATGAAAATAATTTATCAAAAAAGCTGTGTAAGCATTTTAAGATATTAATTTTCAAATATTTAACCCATGAAGATAGATCATTGGAATGTAATGGATTTTCATCTAAAGCAGAAATATCTGATTTTTAAATGTGTACAAGAATGTGTTTTTCCTTGTGATAAATATTGAAAGAGAACACATGTAACTATTTCATATGACTTACATATGCTCATATGCTGCCCTTTTCATATGATTCACATATGTGGACAGACATGAAAAAAGTATAAAAATGATAATAAGTACAACAGAGTATAATTCACATATAAAGTATAACATGTATAAAACACATGTTTAACACATGTTTCATATGTATAAATATACAATGTGTTTATTTTCACACATGTTAAACACATGTGAAACATATGTTTAACATGTGTAAAAATAAACACCCTATACATGTGTGCTCCTTTTATGTGTTTTACATGTGTAAAAAATATATGTTAAACACATGTTTAACATATGTTCAACACATGTGGACATTTTTCCTGTGTACTTATGTACGGCTTTTTAAAACAATATTTATATTGTTTTGTTGACCCAAGTTTAGGTCCCCAAAAAGAATTTTGTCAAGGTCTATTTCTCCTTTGTTATTTTTTATAGCATGAAATAATTCTGTTCTTATTTCAGTATAATTTTTACAATAGAGGAAGAAATGCTCAGTGTTTTCATTGATATATCCACAAGAACACTGGGTATTGTCTGAAAGTCTAAACTTAAACAGATCTGACTTAAGGAGGCTTACGTCGTGTCTCATTCTGGTTAAAATTGAATTCGTTTTTTTTTTGTCGCCGTAAGGAAAATGTTTTGGCGGAGAATCACCTTTAGAGAGTCTCTTTTTGAAAGCATTTACAGTGTCAAGGTTTCTAATTCTAAAAATTCTAAAATTCTTAAATAATTAATTCGTAAGCTCAAAAACAACAGACACGACAGATAAAAGATTAATAAATAAATCTCGAAAGCTCAATTTTTTTAAAGTAATTTTCAAAGAAAAATTATTAGTTGTTAAATTTAGAATCATACATGTAAAATATATATAACCAGGGAAAGCGTAAATAAAATGTAAATTGTTTTATTGCCGTCTCTGAGCAGATGGATCCCAGTAGAGGACACAATCTATATCGGAGACTCCACGCTTCCCTGTACAGATATTAACCAATGAAAATCTATATTCATGCATAAAAATTTAATTTACGGATAATCTTCTCACTTCCTTATTATGTATTTTATTTATTTACTTGACCAATTGACCATACTTTAACTATAAACATAACTCCTTAGGACTTAACACTAAATCGAATGGTTGACACCTTCTTTGATTAAAAAATTACACAGATAAATGGAAACCCTCAAGTACAATTTTACATTTCTACATAATATATATATCGTATAATAAAAAATTAATAAAAAATCTAATAATCATAAATAACTTACAGCAAAAGAAAAAGGCATCTTTTTAAATCCTTAACTGTAGACCATTATTGATCTAAACATTTTAAACAATTTATGTGTTATGTAAACGAAGTCAAAATAAATAATACATGTACAAGTACGCAATGACAAAAGAAGTCTGCTTATAAAACATTGAATTAATTCCAATTAATCTGTTGTTTGAAAACTAAAACCAATTAAATAATGACAGAGACTAAACGAAGTGCAAAAAACAAATAAATGAAATAAGAAAAATAAAGGTCTTTAAATTCATATTTTCTTTTGTCAGTAGTCATTTAGTTAAAACTGTCCTTTCTGACATATTTTATTTTTCAAATAAAATCTGCAACATGACTACTTTCTTCCAAAGTCGTCATGTTGCAGATTTTATTCGAAAAATAAAATATGTCAGAAAGGACACTACTTCAATGATAAGTAAATAATATTTTTTTGTTAATTTTATTGAAGACCAGATTATGCTTGATGGTACAGGAAATTAACAATTTTTTTTTCTCTCTCTCTAATATATCTTAATCAAGTTTTCAGTAAATAATATCATACAATTGTACAACATCATTTTTATCGTCTGATGGACTACATTCATTTAGCACCAGTGCCATCTTGGACCGGTCTCTGTTTACAGCTAGGTGGCCTGCATCTCTTATATCCAAAAGTTCCGTACAACTGCGATTCCTAAAATCTGCAAAATTAACTGCACAGTAAGATGACACAAGAATTCCAGATTTTAAAATTGCCATTCCTTCAATTAAGTGACCTGGAATCTTAATTTTCCATTTTGTTTTGGCGTCGCCGAAGGCATTAGTACACTTGATTTGATCGTTGCCAAAGTTCAAAACTCTGTAAAAGAGATCCAGTGTTGTTGGATCTACTACCAAATAACGCTCGGCGGATACGGTTAGTTTTTGAAGTTCGGAGTACTGTTCATTATAAATGCGAATGTTTTCAGATTCATCACTTTCTTTCCAGATGACAAAAAGGTAGTCATCACTTGAAGTTAAGCCATAACACTTAGATTTGGGATTTGTAACCCACGCATTTGGAACAAGGGAAAGGTCATGCAGCCTTAAAAAGTTAACTCTGTGCTCAGATGGAAATGCAACAGCTATATCGCCTGTTGGGGCTTGTGTGACGTCATAGGGCTTATAATCAAATTTCTTGTACCCGAGCTGAATTTTCATGTCATCAAACATCTTAAGTGAAAGGTTTGCTTTATCAGACATCACAATATTCCCGTTCGCGAGAAAAGTTATACCTGATATCTCAGCTTCTTCCTTTTCCTCCATAAGTCTAGGATGGATGTTTGAATGAAATTTAAGCTCTTTTGGAGATCCGCTTTCAGCTTTTTGGAAATTCTGTAAGATGGCTGGCCCCTCACATTGATTTACATTACTCTGTTGAAAGGGGTGGTTATAATTCTCATGTCCCATAGAGAGATCTTTGTACGGTCCACCGAAATTTTGGCTTTGGAAGGATGTGTTATCATAGTTAAAACCCTGATGTGAAGACGGCACAGGAGGGTAATACCCGCCATAGTTAACGGGTAAAGGTGTTGGTATCGCGGCATCAGGAGGCTGGATGTTTGTATTGGGCACAAAGGGAGGATATGGGGCTCCTTCTACTCCAGCTCTGTCTTTTCTTTGTATTATTTCCTCGTAAGAAGGAGGATTGACTGGATCAGACGGCAATGGAGCTGTTGCCTGCGTAGGCAAACTTTGTTCGAATCCCCTCATTGATAACTGCTCCTTCTCAGAAACCTGGTCATCTGTCAACAAGTTACTCAATGAAATCTTACCAACATTTTCACGCTGTGATATAACTTTTTCAAAACTTTCGGAAACTTTGAACTTTAGAAGATAAGATGGCGTCTCTCTTCTAAGAAGATCTTCTGCTATTTTACTGAGCGCTGTAAACTGTGGTTCTCTTTCCGTTGCAGTTAGTTTGGACATTAAACAAGATCTCAGAACTTCATTTGAAGTATTTTCAACTTCTTTGATATCTGATTTGACGTTCAAAGACCTTCTAAATTTCTCTATTAACTCTTGTAGCTGAGTTGTCTGCTTGTGAAAACCATTTTCGATATCCTGTAGGGAACATTGTTCTAACTTGTCTATTTTGTCTCTATACGCTCGACATCTTTCTTTCACCAGGTCATCAGCTGTCTCCTTTTCCTTACCCAGCATGTACAGCTGACATTCTAGTAGTTCACAGACTCTGGCGACAGCCAATACGTAGCTCTGCAGAGGGATCTGCGGTTCCACTTTCTGACAGGAAGCGTGTTCCAAGATGTTGCACCCTGAGCAGATTGGCATCTTGTGTGTTGCACAATCCTGATCAAGAGGCATCTTATGACTAGAACAGATGCCATTTTCACTGCCATCTGCCATCTACAAATTGAAGAAATGACAGTTGTACTGAACATTATTGCATTAATAACAGAATTAACAGTTTTCACAGTAATTTTTTTTGGGGGGGGGGGGGGCAATACTGAAAAGATATTAATTTGTTGTATTCTTTGGCCGAGGCGATAACCATTTATCATGGAAAGTCTTTTCATCAAAGCTTACATACCTGGTATATTTATAAAATATAACTTACAGAAATACACTTCTTGGCATTTTTCCATAAAACAACCAACCACATAGTAATAAAGGGAAAACACTTGCGGATTCATTATACAGTGTAACAGAATTAAAAGACAATGAATATTTTAAGGTAATTCCACCCTCGTATGATGTCATAGGTTTTTGCAAAAACTGTAATTAATTTAATTTCATACCTAATAGAACAGTATCTTTCGGAAGAATGCTTTACAGAAGGTGAAATGATAATTATCCCGCTTCAGACAAATTTGTCGATTACTGATTGGATAAAAGCTAATCACATGACGCCCTGAAATTTTCCGTATTACGTCTCCATTTCCATATTACGTCTCCGTCGAGGCGTAATATGAAAATCGGGCACGCGATTCCGTTCGTAACGTTGTTATTGTAAATAAAAATGGCGGCTAAGAAAAGGTTTACGTAGGTAGTTAAATTTCTTGTTACCGTAATGATATTTTATGTTTTATTGTTATTGGATTAAAACCTAATATTTTCATAATATGCACAATTTTTTTTTATATCGAAAAAGGTCTTCAGCGGGGTAAATTCGTAACACTGTGTAACTAATAATATTGTTCAGTAAAATTTTTTTTAAATGCATATTTTCTTTATTTAATCAATTATTTAATCTTAAAATATGTTGACAAGGGCAGAAACTCCTTCTAAGGGATATTCATTTTGGCACTTCTAAGGCACTTATTGTACTTCTAATGTAAAATAGTTTCCCTGATATTCACAATTCAAAAGTATCTTATAACTAGGAAGTAATATGAGCATTCAGCATCAGAATTATGCATTTTAACCAGTTTTTACACATTTTTCATGGTACTGTTTACAAAAAAGGTGCACTTTTTTATGTTTACATACACTTTTGTGTATTTATGTTTCGCATCTTAAGGACAGATGATACAAACAAATTTTTTCTTTGAAAAAGATTAAATATCATGTCACAAGTTTAGAAAAGTGGATGGTTCTTAGATTTTTTTCTCCGCAGAACTGGAATATGAAAAAGACATGGAAAATATTAGTAATATTGCAATGAAAACACAAATATAGACAAATCACATTCAGTAAAGGTTTACAGGTGAAAATAAATTTCAGAATATGTTATCATGGCGCTAAAAGTGTAATATAAACTTAAGAAAAATATACTGATCCAGGTGAATTTTATTAGGAAAAGCTAAATGGTTAAAATGAGCCTATGTGATATTGCCAATTTTTTGTAATTTCGATCTTCCTCTTAAAATTCACCTGGCTTGGTATATTTTTCTAAGGTTTATATCACACTTTTAACACCAGGATAACATATTCTGAAATTTATTTTCACCTGTAAACCTTTACTGAATGTGATTTTTTCTATATTCGTTTTTTTCATTGAAATATTACTAATATTTTCCAAATCTATTTCATTTTACAGTGCTTCGGAGAAAAAAATTCTAAGAACCATCCACTTTTCTAAACTTGTGACATGGTATTTAATCTTTTTCAAAGAAAAAATTTGTTTGTATCATCTGTCCTTAAATAATATGGTGACCTACCGGTATACATTTTTTGCAATAATTGTAAAATTTAGAGTATATTAAACGAAAATAAATGCAGTTTTTGTACTTTGAACCATTAAAATTGTGAGGGTGGAAACACCTTAATTAAAAAAAGGCAAGACAATATATAAAAATATTAAATTTTTGTCCAAGGCATTTTTTTCTTCAAGCATTATATATAAAATATTCAAGACATAATTATCAAAAGGATTAAATGTTATAAATTTATATTTTACGAAAGTATCGAAGTCTGCACAATAAGCCACTAACTAGTATGAAAAGAGAGATAACTCTCCATCACCAAAACCTTGCTCTCTAAACATAGAATAAAATTTACACGAAATTTAAAGGCACATTTACAAACTAAATAGATGTATGTAAACAGTTGCATCACTATTGTCAGTTCCACTGACACGCGAGATACTTTAATGCAAATATTCCACGAGCAGCAGATTGGCAAAAATTTAATGTATTTATTTATAAAATTACCTGTGTAAGTGTGTTGTTCCCTCGAATCGTGTCACTTATAGTTACATTTCACAACAAAAGAAAATAAATTTAAAAGAAATTGCATATTCCGAAACTCTAGCAACGCTCAAATTACATCAAATATCTTAAATTCTAATATATCTGTTGACTGTTATCATTATGTGAATAAATTATCTATGATAATTTTTTTGTGTATTAGAGAACTTCGATCCCGATCTAAATACTAGTTCAGACTCTTCAGAAACATCGAACAGGCCATTTTTCTAACTTGTTATTAAAATTATCAATTTGCCCCAACTAATAAGAAATTTTAAAAATTTGAATTAATAATTGGTTATTCACTGTGGGTGTTTTTAAATACTTACATGACAATATATATTTTTTTGCGTATAAAGTGAATGAAATCTATGGCATTCAAAACACCATAACATAAGGAGGCAAAGGGTTAAAGCATGCATTTTATTTTGACTTCATAATTATGGAACGCCGAGCAAGTGCAACGCCATAAGCGAAAATTAAAAATCACACATTGACCAGAAGCTGTTACCTTAGTTCTTCCATTAGCTGCAGATCTGTAGCGTTATGGTTTTATACAATTATGTCTTTGACCATAACCGTTAAGGTCAAAGTGAAATATATAAAACCAAAACGCTACAGATCTGCAGCTACTCTTCCATTAACTGTAGCTTACACTAAGGATAATACATGGGTTTTAAAATATTAATCACATCTGCAGTAAAGGAAGACAGTTTTAAAAAATGTAAATTTATGAAATGAATCATTATTTCTTAAAAGGTATGGTCTCATCGGTGTGCAAACAAAGGAGGAGTTTCGATAAGGCTTTTTTTCGACCCCTCGAGAAATGTTATAGCATATAGATGGTGTTCCCAACCAGTCCTCAATAGAAAACTTCATGGAGGTGATCTTCAAATTTCTTCAGCTATCCTAACATCAGGGAATTATTATGCAAAGTGTGCACTATTTGCAAAGTTTTTGAAGCTGTATTTTCCAAGTTGTTCAAAGTTCACCGCTATTTAAAGAAAATACCTTGTACCCACCATCAATGCCTTCTGGAAGGAGCAGCAAAGGGAAATCACCGCTATTCAAAGAAAATACCTTGTACCCACCATCAATGCCTTCTGGAAGGAACAGCAAAGGGAAATCATATATTGATTTAGGTTTGTGTATTTTCTATTCACAGGGTGATTATTATTGTCTTCTGAAATAAATGTCTTTAGCAATATGGATTATGAATTACACTACGTTAATCATTTATTTTCACTTAGGTGATGGAAGGAATGACAGTCCTGGTCATAGTGCACAATACTGCACATACAGTGTCATAGACAACTGTACCAAGAAAATAGTGTCACTGGTAACAATGGACAAAAGAGAGACAGGAAAGAAAAGTGTAAATATGGAAAAGACATGTTTTTTTAAAGGCAATGGAGGATTTAGAGGAGAATGGTGTTGTAGTTTCTGAAGTGGTAACTGATGCACACCTGCAAATTGGAGCAGTGATGAGTGAGTACTGCAAGTATATCATAATCTCTCTCTCTTTCTCTCTGTTCATTTCTGTGTGTTTTGGTGAGCACTACTTTTTATCTGACAACTTTTGCAGAAAACAGGTTTCCAGGAATCAAACACTCCCACGATATTTGGCATGCTGCTAAAAACCTGATGAAAAAATTATAGCTGCTGGACAGAACAAGGAATGCAAACCACTTTTAGAATGGAGCAGGGACATCATAAACCACTTTTGGTATTCATGCTCCCATGCCACAGATAGGGACAGTTTCATGGTGAGTATAGTATATCTTGTACATAAACATACCAGTTTTATTGGAAATCATATGTAATTTGTCACATAAAATTTGCTCATTTGCCTCATTTTTCATTTATTTTTTTATAATTCATTTATTTATAAAAGCTTAACACAGAATCAGTATTCTGTAAAAATATTAACACATCCTAATCGCATGATCTTGTTTTTTATATATCATAGGAGATATGGTGTGGAGTTGTTCACCACGTCGTAAATGAGCATGAATGGAGTATGTCTTATTCCAGCAATTTCTTTGGTGCCAACAGATGCATTCATGGTCCTATAGAGGATGAGCACAACAACTGGCTAAAGAAAGGCAGTCCTGTTCATAAAGCTCTAATCCAAATTGTGTTTAATAAGCGTTTTCTGGGCCAAATACATTACTATGTGAATTTCAGGTATTCTTTCCTTTCCTTATTTTATACTGATTTATACTCTATGTTTGTGTCAGAGGAATGTGGTATTTTTTATTCTGATAACTTGATGTGCATTTCAGGAGCACAGCAGAGTTAGAAAACTTCAACAATTTGATACTTATGTACAATGGTAAACGATTTACCTTTTCGACTCCTGTTTATCAAGCTTGGACTATAACACAAATGTGGACAGAGAAGTTGGAAGAAATTATGATGGCACAATTCAGTAAATATTAAAATAAATCCACTTTTAAATATCTAATTATTTGGTGGTGGGCCCCCACCACCAAATAACTGTAAGTGTTTAACAAACAAATCTTGTTTTCATACTAATCTATTGGGCTTTCATGTACAATCTATTTTTAAAACTTGTGTCAACGGTGACATTCTTATTACAGTAACACATCTTGTTTCAAAAGAAATACAGGGTATGTTTATTGTCCCCCTGTTTTGTAAAAGCAAGAGAATCTTAAATCTCATTCGTCTGTCGGTAAGTTACAAAAATTTTAACCTTGGTCAAATCTTTTGAATGAGAAGAGATAGAGCTTTCATATTATACATGTAAATTACCTGTAACTAGACCTTTCTAAATACACTGATTTTTTTTTACCTCATTACCTTCAAGTTTTACCTACTACTTTTCAAAAACTTTAACCTTGGTCATAAATTTCTATTAAACATTAAATGTTATTGATTTACTGTATGGTATACTGGCATATTGTATTTTATGCCCCCGTAAACGAAGTTTCTGGGGTATATAGTTTTTGTCGTGTCCGTCTGTCTGTCTGTCTCTCTGTTTGTCCGCAAAAACTTTAACCTTGCCCATAACTTTTGATTTAGTGGAGCTATGACTTTTATATTTTACATGTGTATTCCTTGTGACAAGACCTCTCTTTGGATACCACCAAATTTGACCTTGACCTTGGCGTTTGACCCACTTTAACATTAAAATATAAAACTTTTACTTTGGCCATATATTTTGAACAGTAGATACCAGGACATTTATACTTCACATACGTAATTTTTGTTGAAAGACCCTTCATTGGATACCAACAACCTTGACCCTTTGACCTTGTAGATCCCCGTGCTTGTGAAAAAACTTTAACCTTGGCTTTAACTTTTGAACGGTACGGGATAGGGCTTTCACCTTGACCTTGTAGATCCCCGTACTTGTGAAAAACTTTAACCTTGGCTTTAACATTTGAACGGTAAGGGATAGGGCTTTCATACTTCATTATGTGTAATCCTTGTGAGAAGACCCTTCATTGAATACCAAGAACTTTGACCCTTTTACCTTTAAGACTGACTACTTCAAAAAAGCAAACCTTGACCATAACTTTTAAAGAGTTGGGGGTAGTGCTTTCATACTTCACATATTCAATTCTTGTGACAAGACCTTTCATTTGATAATAAGAACTTTGACCCTGACCTTGGAGTTTGGCCTTCTTTTAGAAAAATTTAACCTTGGCCATAACTAAACTGTTAGGGCTAGGGCTTCCTTACTCTAAATAAGTATTCTATGTGGCAAGACCTTTCATTTGGTACCAATTACATTTGACCTTGACCTTGGAGATTTTTGTACATATTGAAAAAGCCTTAACATTGGCTTACTTTCAAATTTCACAATTGTTTTCCTATGTTGCCATACGGGGGCATCAGTGTTTTACAAACACATCTTGTTTAACTAGGCAACACAGAACTTTTAACAAAAAAAAAGTCGCCGTTGGATTGCCACGCCGGTAGAGGTTGAAAAAAGTTATAATCATGTTGAGCTTCTAATGAATCGAATAGCAGTGGCTAGGCTGAAAGATCGGGAGGGGATGTGTCACCCAGTAGTGCTCGACATCCATGACCCATGGCGTCTAAGCGGAACCATTGCTTCAGTAGATCCAAAGCCAACCGCAGTATTACTAAAGGAGGAAGTTTCTCGTTTCGTGGCAAAAGACTAATATTTATCTGATGTCCTTAAATTTGTCAAATTTGAATTCATCATTACTAGTTGCTTTTTTTTTTTTACAAATGGAATCTGTGTGATTGTTTCATTGTACACAACAATTTGTCCATTCACATGAGGATTTTTTTTTACCTCACTGAAGCTGAAAACTTATTTGAGCTTTTCTGATCAACATTTTGTCCATCTGCTGTCTTTCACGGGGAGTGAAGTTAAAAAAAAATACAGGTATTTTTCAAAAATCTTCTCAAGAACTACTGGGTCAAAAAGAGTTAGGTGACTGAAGTTTTATTTTGGAATATGTAGGGAAAATATTTTGAAAATCTTCTCAGCAAAGACATGATTACTCATATTGATATAGAAGCATCCACTCGTGACTGGTAGTATTGATTAAAGTTTGTTTTATTCATGACTCTTGGGTAAGGTGGGGAAGCAATAGTCTGTGCAAAGTTTTAAAGGGGGATCATAGCCAGCGACTCAGGTGAGCATCGTGGCTTTATAGACCTCTAGTTTATAAATTTTCAAGGTTTCAATTTTTTTAAAGTTTTCTAGAATTTTCAAGTTTTAAAATGGATACATGTATAGTAATAGGCCAATCTACATGTAAACGTATTTTTATTCAGTTGTTGCTATTGTAGAAAAACTAATGTAATGAATGGAGATATTTTTTTTTACAATTTTGGTATAAATATATTCTATACTATGTGGCATACACCACTGTATTAATGGGCATAACTGTCTGTGCTTGCAAATGACATTTTGTAATTCTTGTATGTTTTCTTTATTATTCTTGAATGATCATAAATTGATATTTCAATGTTTATGATGTTGTTAGTAATACATTCCAGAGGTGAAATATAAAGTCGTAAAACATAATTGTGTTCTTGTTTTTATATCTTAACCGTTTTCGAT